CCAGGGTTGAAAAGCCGCTTCATGACTTTTCAACCCTGGCCCTGTCCCAAAACCACGAAATTCAACACTTTGCATAATTCGCGCTGAATCGCGATTAGAAATAATGAGAAAAGGCTGCCTCTCTCCGTTATCATAGCCTCACGCCACTTCCGCGCATGCTAATCGTTCCTAACAAAGAGGGGTGACCATTTTTTCCAAGAAAAACTGGATTTTAGTGCCGAAAACAGTATATTTTCGAAAGCTGATATGTGTGCAGTCATCTCTAGACCATTGCGCATCCTAATGACGTATCATATATACCTTTAAGTCCCTTCCGCTAATCCGATACCACTGGAACACGCTGACGGAAGTTGCATGCAAATCTACGCACACATACATACACACACACACACACACACACACACACACACACACACACACACACACACACACACACACACACACACACACACACACACACACACACACACACACACACACACACACACACACACACACACACACACACACACACACACACACACACACACACACACACACACACACACACACACACACACACACACACACACACACACACACACACACACAACACACACACACACACACACACACACACACACACACACACACACACACACACACACACACACACACACACACACACACACACACACACACACACACACACACACACACACACACACACACACACACACACACACACACACACACACACACACACACACACACACACACACACACACACACACACACACACACACACACACACACACACACACACACACACACACACACACACACACACACACACACACACACACACACACACACACACACACACACACACACACACACACACACACACACACACACACACACACACACACACACACACACACACACACACACACACACACACACACACACACACACACACACACACACACACACACACACACACACAACACCACCACACACCACACACACACACACACACCACACACACACACACACACACACACACACACACACACACACACACACACACACACACACACACACACACACACACACACACACACACACACACACACACACACACACACACACACACACACACACCACACACACCACACACACACACACACACACACACTACACACACACACACACACACACACACACACACACACACACAACCACACACACACACACACACACACACACACACACACACACACACACACACACACACACACACACACACACACACACACACACACACACACCACACACACACACACACACACACACACACACACACACACACACACACACACACACACACACACACACACACACACACACACACACCCACACACACACACACACACACACACACACACACACACACACACACACACACACACACACACACACACACACACACACACACACACACACACACACACACACACACACACACACACACACACACACACACACACACACACACACACACACACACACACACACACACACACACACACACACACACACACACACACACACACACTCCACACACACACACACACACACACACACACACACACACACACACACACACACACACACACACACACACACACACACACACACACACACACACACACACACACACACACACACACACACACACACACACACACACACACACACACACACACACACACACACACACACACACACACACACACACACACACACACACACACACACACACACACACACACACACAATACCACACACACACACACACACACACACACACACACACACACACACACACACACACACACACACACACACACACACACACACACACACACACACACACACACACACACACACACACACACACACACACACACACACACACACACACACACACACACACACACACACACACACACACACACACACACACACACACACACACACACACACACACACACACACACACACACACACACACACACACACACACACACACACACACACACACACACACACACACACACACACACAGGAACTATTTTTTTATATATAGTAGGATTATTTTATAACCAGCGCCCAAAACCCGCTTCGCGGGCCTTGGGCGCTGGATTGCGGCCTCTGCATGACAAATTTGACTTTCCGGTAGATCGGGTCCTGCGGACCCTCCACCGACCTCACGCGCGCGAGCTACTCGCAAGAATGAGGACATTTCTATTATTTCACATTATGCAAATTAGCCCTCAGGTACCCCAAAAATGAATAAAACCGGCTTTAACTTTGTAAACTTGTATTTTATCGAGATTCTGAGAACGCCATCGGAAACAGAAGAGTCGATTCCCCCGGGTGACGGAAAATTAGAGCATTTTATCCACCGGAAGGCCCTCAAATCGGCCTCGAAACTGACATCCACACACACACACAAAGATACACGCCAAAATTATATAAGGTAGGATTTCTGATGTTTAGCATAGTAAAAAGTGTAGAAATTCTCGCTTTAATTTGGGTAGGACCCTCGATAATGTTAAAGTTACATTAATGGGTATAACAAGTGTTTAAACCCTGAAACACAAAGTTATAAACAAAAAATAGATCTAAATAAGACAAAACCTCTAATAGAAATCTGTTCTTCATCTTCTCTGTACTCCCGCGAATCCGTTTTTACGTTTAAAAAGGAATACATTTTAGCCAGGTAGCACGCTTGCAGCAACGGTCTATTGTGGAAATTTGACCGCCCAAAACAGAGAAGCCCGCGGTTGGTTTGACGTCAATTTGGGATTATAATCCGGGGCACAGCACGAGGGTACCAACCTTTCACTTTGACTTGCTTTTCGACGATCAGCAATGAACTGACGACCACGCTGCCCGCCTGAAAATCACTGAATTAAATTTGCCGCAAAGAGGAGGTGCTGGGCTGTTAGCGGGGTAAATTTTAGCGGCCATTGAGATATGCTCAAATCTGAAATTCTGAAACTTCGTAATTCGGAAAATTTGGCTTCCAAAACGGTATTCATCGACTCGGTACTGGTCTGTTAGCGGCAGGAGCTAACTATGGCCGCTCACCATAGGAAGCTAACTAAAAACCAAAACGGCGAAAATATAGCCGAGATAGCTCTCCCACCCCCACTAACAGACAAGTTTCAAACAGCCTCCTTACCCTGAATTCATTTTTCGCCTGGCAAGAATAAATTCCAGCATTCGCCTCTGTCGCGTCCTTGATCACCACCGTCGTCCCGTTGTTGGCAAAGGTGGCCGAGCGGGTAGCTGAAGAAGTTAGATGACCAATTAAAAGCGACTCACTCAACATTTGCCCATCTTTAAGCCATATAATATTGGGCGTAGGGTGTCCGATAGCCGGACAAGTGACGTTCAAGGATGCATGCAGCGGGATGCCGACCGTTGCTCCCTAAAATGCAATTATTTTCTAAAACTTCTTGTCTATTTAAACTTTAGTTTTGATCTAAAACGAACACGCAAGTGATTTTCCTTGTCGTCAATCAACGAGTACGTTTCCGTGCCGAGCGGATGTGCGACCGGGCGGGCTGTAAATTAATGCATTACGGGTAATAGCTGCAAAAAAATGGCAAAACTCGAGTACAAAGCACTACTCCGCACTTTATTTTCTAATTTGTTCTGTTTTCCAGATTTTTATGGATTTTTATCGCCGCGCCAACTTTACGCAATAATACGTCGTAGCTAGCACACTCATTACCAAAAAAAGCTTTAAGCGCAGAATTCGCCGCAATTAGACGTGTTACGTATGGCCGTATAAAGTTATAGAACATAATAAACTATACAGTGTATATTTAAATTTCAGTGTAAAAAAATCCTTGATTTTCTGAATTACTATAACTTTTCGGGCTGTGCTCGCTTTTATATTAACGCTGCCCGGCTGCGCAACGCAACCGCGACGCGTTCAGCGGATCCGGCTACCGGAGAACGTTACTTTTTTCTCTCGGCAAACCTAGCAATTTTTTTGCGCCCCCTTTCCGCATATACGGGTCGGGATCCGCACAGACGACCGCTCCGGTATTGCTATGGCGCGCCCTTTCCACCGTAACCCCCGGGGCCGCTCCTCCGCCCCTCTCGCGTTTTCCAGCCAAATTTCCCCTAACCTAATAGTGAAAAAGAGAATAATAGAGTGGAATAATAATAATAATGATTATTAGAAGGGGTTTTATTGAAATTGCTGTAAAGGGAAGCCAGCCTTGCGGTTTTTTGCAGTCGTTCCAGCTAAAGGTACGTCGTTTCATCACAATCTTCGCGCCTAGGGTTCAACAGGCTGCTTCTTTTTCTATCAATAGTAAGTTAGTTAAATTAAAATTGTCGATAACGCTTTTGGAAGGAGGAAGATGTCGATGGAGCCGGAAACTGGAAAGTTAAATCGATTGATGATTTGTCTTCGTGAATAGTAATATCTTTGACCTAGCTTTGTAATCGTATTAAAGATACGCGGGAGTTTTCTGCGAGGTTTTTCTTTCTGAATTCAACGAGGTAGATTTCTTTGCTGGCTGTTTAAGGATTTGGGTATGAAGCTCAGACTTGGAAGCGTCAGCACCCGAACCGATTGAACGCCCGCCTTGGAATATTCTAACGAATTTCACCCAGCAAGCTATCATCAGGGCGAACTCGTATATCTTTTCATGCTGTTCTGCTATTGTAAAGTAACAGTGCGATCATCGATGATGCAGTTGCTACGCCCTAAACCATCGCAGAGTCCTAGCTGAAAAACGCAGCACACGCCATCGATACTGCTGCATGACGTCATTGAGTAACCTATCACGGATGTTATCACGCACTGTTAACTTTTCAGTTTAGGGCTCCATCGACATCTTCGCATTGCCTACAGCGTTATCGACAATTTGAGATAGAATGTTAAAAAAAACGTACATTTAGCTGGAACGACCGCAAAAAACCGCAAGGCTGGCTTCCCTTTACAGCAATTTCAATAAAACCCCTTCTAATAATCATTATTATTATTATTCCACTCTATTATTCTCTTTTTCACTATTAGGTTAGGGGAAATTTGGCTGGAAAACGCGAGAGGGGCGGAGGAGCGGCTCCGGGGTTACGGTGGGAAAGGGCGCGCCATAGCAATACCGGAGCGGTCGTCTGTGCGGATCCCGACCCGT